TTTTGCTTTTGTGATCTCTGCCAGCACTACAGTCTTAGAATGTAAAATAAATCTTTCAACTAAGTCAAAGAGTTTCTGGTCTCAAAACTTCGTTGTCTTTAAAACTTACTGAACTTTCCTAATTAACATATCAAGACCTATGAAAAACTTTTATTATTTTTTCCTCAAGGTGACCATAAGAACAGGCCAAAAGCATCCCTGCTGTTCAGTTTCTCTGCGGAATAAAACAAGTTATCCCAGACTACGGCACTCACAAAAACACCGGACACGTTTACGAGCAGTCTTGGCCTAAATGCCAAAGGGACCAGTGACTTCCAAACCATCTTTCTGGGAGCAACAGCAAATAGGTAATTTCAAAACCATACATTTTGATAGTAGTTTCAATTAGGAAAGTGATACGGCTGCAGTACTACCCATGAGAGAACTGGATAGTCATTCTTCACTTTGAAAAGCTGTAATCATAGAAGCTGAGTCAAGGAAATGTATCCAATAATAATTACACCTCCAAAATGGGATTCCAAATCATTCCTTTTGGGATGGGCAGATTACACTCAACTTTCTCTACATGACAGAAATGTCAACAAGTCTAATATATGTAATTTCAGACCTGCAATTTTAAACTGAACGTTTGCATAGCTTGGTCACTCTTTACCATAGAAACATGGGTAACCACAGCACGTCTACGCATCAGAGGAGACATTCGAGCCAGCAGTGCTATTGCAAAGCAGGCTCTTGGGATCAGCAACAGCGCCGCAACGTTGGCTTAATATTGCACATAAAGTAACAAGCCAGTATTTCCAAGACACATACTAGTATTTAGGAAAGACAACAGGCATGAACTGAAAGAATATTCTGACTAGATACTAGAATTTTTTTTCCCCCCAGGAGGACCGGCAAGCAGTGGTACAGGCTGCCTGGTGTCAGTCCTTGGGGTTTTCCAAGGCTGACAAGATAAAGCTCTGAGCAACCTGAACCGGCCTGAGAGCTGACCCTGCCGTGAGCAGCTGGGTAGAGTGGGTCCCTTGGGGTCCCTTCCCACCTGAATGATTCAATTTCTACAGATGGTTGCACAGAGCAAGTACGTCAATCTTCAGACCACTGCACCACGGTCTTTTGCATCTTCTACACGTGCCATTAAATTAATGGCATTATGATTCCATTTGATGCAGAATTAAATAGAGATCAGGATCTTTTAGATTATTAATCTTTTAGATTATTAACCATCCTCTGCTAACCACCAATGTTTTGGTGGAGCCTTCGTAGCCAAGAGGGACGGTGGATGGCTTGACAGTGGCCCAGAGGGTTTGGAGTTTGAGTCCCACCAACATCTTGCGAAGTTGCTTTGGCAGGGGGGTTGAACTACATGATCTCCGAAGGTCCCTTCCAACCCCTATGATTGCTGTGACGACTAACTTTTCCTTGGAGTTTAAAGGGGGTCATGCCTTTTTCATGAAACTCTCAAAGAGTTCTGCATTCTCAAGCAGAAAGAGAACAAGAATGCCACTAAGAGCCTTTCTCACTCCGAGGCCTAAAGCTCCTGCAATCTGGTACCAACAGATGGCCCTCTCCTATGGCCAAACACCAGTTCCATCTAGGGCAACGGAAAGTGGTGTTTTTCCCCCCCATCCCTTCCTCCATCCATCACCACATGCTGCCTTACACACACACAGAGCTGCGTCGCCATCCCCCTGACCACAGCCAGCATCCAGCTCCCTGAAAAGCACCCAGGGAGCTCTTACACAACGACCACCACAGGAGAAACCTCGGCTGCCTCCTGCCTCACAGCCACGGGGACCACGCTCCTCTCCTCGGGCGAGGAGGCCCTTCTTCCCGCTCTTCTCCTCAGGCGAGGAGGCCCTCTTCTCCAGTCTTCTCCTCAGGTGAGGAGACCATTCTCCCTTCCCATCCTCTCAGGCGAGGTGACCCTCCTCTCCAGTCTTCTCCTCAGGTGAGGCGGCCCCTCTCCCCTCTCTTCTCCTCAGGTGAGGCGGCCCCTCTCCCCTCCCATCCTCTCAGGCGAGGTGGCCCTTCTCCCCTCTCTTCTCCTCAGGAGAAGCAGCCCCTCTCCCCTCTCTTCTCCTCAGGCGAGGCTGCCCTTCTCTTCTCCCCTCTCTTCCCTTCAGGCAAGGAGATCCTTCTCCCCTCCCACCCTCTCAGGCGAGGTGGCCCTCCTCTCCAGTCTTCTCCTCAGGAGAATCAGCCCCTTTCCCCTCTCTTCTCCTCAGGAGAGGCGATCCTTCTTTTCTCCCCTCTTCTCCTCAGGCGAGGCGCTCCCCTCCCCTCTCTTCCCCTCAGGACGCGCGGCTCGGTTCCCCTCAGGCGCGGGGCCAGGCCCCACAACCCACCCCCGCGGCAGCTCACCCCCTCCAAACCC